TCATCGTCCTTGCCGTACCCGGCACAACATCCCGTGGGTATGCCGGTGCCTCAACCATACGGATACGCAACACCACAGCAGGCCGGGGATTTGCTGCGTAATCCACATCCAGGCGGAGCACAGCCATCACACAATGTTACGCCAAACCAACAAACTCAAACCCCGCCTTATCCCATATAACTGCAACAGGAGGAATGCACGATCGTAAATACTGTAAAATACTATTTTAGCTGTTCGTTGAAAAACCATGTTGGGTGTTTTGTGTGGAATTCATTTTCACTGATTTTTGACAAGTTGAATGTAAAATATAGGACAAAAAGGTATATTCCGACGCTGATTTAATTTTCATATTTTGGACACTTTTCATATAGTAGTTTCCATTAGAGTAGCAAATTACGGCATATTTAAAGTGGTAAATTTGTTTAACTCGAAATGTGCGCAATCGATATATGTATTACGCCCTTTACCAATTAAAGTGAATTTATGTGAATCTGCCGAATGGGGGCGCGAATTATTCAACTTCATCAAGAGACGGCTTCTCGATAAAATCAGTTACAACACCTAGTCTGTTTTGTTGTCATTATTATTATTAAATGCAGAAGCATTTTAGATATCAATATTATTTATGCTATTTCACATCATTACATGATACTATCGTTGAAATTATAATTACGTAACAGTGTATGTATTTTATCTATTCATATGACGCCCGTATTAATACTTTAAGATGCTCGTTTTTAACTTAACAGATATTTGTGCAAGTAATTTGCCATTTTCTGTTTAGCAGCCTCGATCCATGTTGTACAAGTTTTAATAACAATAAACTTCAAAATTAATATTGCCATGTAATATGATCGAGACATTAAATGTATTTGAATATCAATATATCTTTCGGGGGAATAACAAACAGTAAATAAATATAAAAGTACACTTGTGGAAATGTATATTAGCCCGATTTAAACTTTCCATTGTGTTGGGATTACTCGTCTGCTTACATCATTTCATGGCAGACAGTTAAAGTGAGGGAGTCGATACCTGCGCATGCGGCCATAACATGTCGCTGTTTACAAACAGGCGTCTACCCATAAACCTTTGCGTTTTAGCGTTCGTTCTTATCGTCGCTTGGGACAGGTGACGACCCCTCCGCTTTAAGTATCATTGTAGCCTCCAAAGCAAACTCAGTCTTCTAAGATTTGATGTCAGCTTGTATTGCCACAGTAGTGAATTGGTGTACATGTTACGCTATAGTACGCCCTAAATATACATGTCAAGATCGGTGAAAATAAACATCTTTAACATTGTTCATGCCACTCCAAAGGAAACTGCAAACTAGCGGGGCCGATATGTCACGTATGATAAACGTGGTACGTTCTCCTATCTCATAGTAAACAGTTCAATCGAAAGAGATACAATAAATACATGCTTCAATGAGGTTTGTATTGTAGCAAATTGACATCTGTTACGTTGTAGTATATTTCATTCATTGAAAATATATCATTGTGTACAATGTCTGTTAATTATTTGTTCGCGTCATATTTCTTGTTATTGTTTGTTTCACGTGTATCCGGAGTCCTGTGCATAGTTATATTTTATCATCTTTTTCACCGGAAAGTCATCTCGTTGATTAATTTTCTGATACTAATTTCATTTAAAATTATAATCTACTCCAGCAGGTATAATGGAACACACCTTGCTATAATTCAGAGCAGCTTAACCAGCTGGTATGATGCGTGGCTATGACTAAATAATTACGTTCTCGTTATCTGAGAGTACAAGTATGTCGAAAAGCGAACGCACGCCACGGCCTCGAGACACCTGACATCTGATCCTGGCGCCGAAGTTGGCCGATCCATGACCCGAATGACTCCTCATGACGATATTCGTGACCCATCGTGGACGTCGTCATGCTATGACGTCAAATTGTAAGCTGATAGATCATCGAGGTTTAATCGATAGACGTATCTGTCGAGAAGAGTTGGATTGGGCGTTGGCGATTTGGCTCGCCATCTATGTTTCAATTCATGAGACTAGACGGCCATCTAGCGGGCCGTGTTAATTCTCTCGCGGCGATGCAAACCCCGACAAAGACAACGGTAATACTAATCACGAGCTCCATATGTCTATCACTCGTTCTGTTAGAATACAACAATTACATGCATACAGACACGAGAACTAATCTAAAAAAACTGGTATGCAACGTACCGTAAACAGTTGTTTTATATTATTATTATTTATTATTATTTATTTATTGCTTCCCTTTTGTAACAGGGGCTCACTATGTAAACTAGGAGCTGCACCAAAAAAAAAAAAAAAAAAAAAATACATTTCACTCAAAGACTTATGGATAAAAAAAAACTTTTGATTGACAAAAAGAAATTAAGTTACATGAACTAAGATAACAAAATATAACAACAACAAAAGACATCTTAAAAGTAGCAACAAAAAAAAAAAAAAAAAAAAAAAATAAGAAAACTAAAATATAAGAAGTACACTGGAAAAATATTAAATATTATCTGTATACCTCTTTCTACTGTCCATGGCATCACAGTCCCACTGACCTATTTAATAACGCTGAACCCAGAATAAGGGCTGCTGGAATATTTATTATGAAGCATTCGCGTCGGACAGATATAACTCGATCCAGCTGTGACTGGATACATTTGTCGATCACGATTGAATTACACGCGAGATTGGTTATATTACGTCTCTTGCGCTTGGTGCGTAATACCTTATTTTTAGTGCTAGGCCTGTGTTATATCAAAATTGGCCCATATGCACAGAGCGATTAAATCAGGCAATTCTTTATCACCCGATTTCACGATTTACGTCGAAGTGCCCTTTCTTTAGCAATCATCAACTACACCACATGTATTTATCTAATTGTGTCTTGCATGTGCAATTTAAAAAGAGTACCGTACGGAGCTCTGGCGAATGTTCTTTGATATAGATTTGGCACTACCTCAATCCCTCTGTAGACCGCGACACGGCGTATTGTATGTATAAGGAATTTAACAAATGTTTGTTTTTCTCGTTTTAATTCCCTTTCCGTAAGTTACTTTTTCTTTATACTCTGTTATGTAGATCTCGTGACCTTATTGCCGTTCTCTGTGGACCCGGGGACGGTACTGTGTCTAATTAAACGAAACGCAAATGTACATTTGCACGCACAAGAGACGGGGAACACTAAGCTAGGGCATACCTACAGAATTTACGATAGAAATACAACAACTAACAAACCAGTGATAAAACGTGGGATTTGTCTCCAGGGGTATGTGGATAAACGAATTCCATAAAACTGTGACGAGAAATTGAATCTAAGGTGATTCGATTTTGCCAGGGGCAAACATGACAGTATTATTCTAGGCGCATACACACGCAATGAAGTAAACATCGTCTGCCCTTGGGCTAACGCAGTGTTACGTTGGAGAGATATCGTGCAATTGTGTAATATTTATATGCGGATGTATATTGGTTTAATATGGTTTGAGTAATTTTGTTTTTTCTGGTATTTGAGAAGAAACAAAAATAATGGATGTTTCTGTGGGTTTGAATATTTTTAAGAGAGAGTAATAGTTTTTTAGGAGGGGGTACTAGTATATACACGAATGGAAATATGGATTTTGTTTTGTTTCATATACACTCCTAAAATAATATTGTATTGCATTCTATGTATTACCACTCCCCTCTCAAGAAACTGTAGGTTTACCACGGGGAACTATAATCTACTGTACGCAGGGGGGGGGGTATTGGCTGGTATTTTGTATAAGAATTAGACAAGGGATGAAGGCTCCAGCGAGCTCATATTTTTTTTAAACTGGAAAAAACAGACGAACAGAATGAAAAATAAAATCTATAAAAAATACCAGGTTGAAGAATATTAGTTGCTCGTTCAAATTTCGCCAAAGCCTTCAATATTTTACCGATATCTGCAGAATAAATCAAGAGAACTACACAAATTGTCTCCATTTATGTTATTATTTTTTACCTGTTGAGTGAGGCTAACCTAGTCCTAAACTCGGTGTGTGTGGTTCGTAACCAGTCTTATGATTGGTTGTTGACACATTCTGAATAGGCCACGCCTCCAACTGTGCCATGCTTTCGGGCAAACCGTTAATTATTCATAAATGGAGTCAATTTGTGTAGTTTTCTTGATTTATTCATTAATACGTACTCATAGAAGTACGAGAGACATAGTGCCATAGTGAACACAAATTCGGTAAGCTCAAGGTGCAATACAGCCACGATTGTAGTTTTACAACAGAATGCGAAGTTTTGAAGGAAAATTCTATACTGATCTAGCTAAAATAATTTGGATACCTAACCAATAAATGTAAAGAAAAAAAGTACTTGCATCTTGAAAACTATAAAACCTCAAGTCTGTGACTAACGCAGGAAGATTGAAGAATACCCGAACGTCCTCCAGTAGCGATCGTGTAAGGGAGATGTCACATACACTTGTTCATATTCCCCGACATCTTGGCCAAGAAGTTATAACATTTTTTTTCATGACGTCATCATTTTCAATAGTATGTAAATTGTGGATTTAATTTATTAAATACATGTACATATTTTTTGTTAAATATTGCAACACGTACAGATTTTAATAAAACAGCATCATTATATCCTTTGAATCACAATCCATTTACAAAGTTCACCGTAAAATAATATACGTTGGGCAACACATAAACTATGGTATATGATTTGAAGCGCATTGGAGGTTCAATTCAGATGAGGAGAACCAGCATGGACGTCTGCCACTGTTTCTGGCTTATAATCGGCACGACAGCGGCAGACTCGGGCGATTCTAACTTTACACACTTTGAGGGTAGTTTTCATCTTAAACCAGATATTACCTGTAATATCAGTTAAATTTTCTGTAAATAAACTAATGTGATACAGCATAGAACGTTGTAATACATTGTAAACTACACATTTTAATATATTTAAGATTTATTTTTGCTTATTTTTAAAATCATACCTATTTTACAGAAATGGATTTTGAGAATCCTAGACTCATTTCTATACTTGCGGCCGTTTCAATTTACATACTGTGAGAACATTGCTGCGTACGCTATGTAACTTTTTTGTAAAGATGTCCAATGGTTTGATGCGCAGGAGAAAATTATGCACGTGTAATCACTTACACTCCTCACAGCTTGCCTACTTGAAAACAATTCTTTTAAAATTGAGGAGGATCAAAGAATCTCAAACAATCAAGTTAAAAGAACAACCTTGGTTTGAAAGAAGGATTTCTAGAAATCCGTCTGGGTGGTTTTAGAACTCCATTTGGCGTTGCAAGTGGTTGGTGGTTATTCACTCAGATAATTACGAAGACAAACAATAGTTTGACATCTTGAACATGCTTAAAGGGCGGTAGTCGTCGCGCCACGCAAGCGCGAGATATATGGGTCTCATTATGAACAAAGATGGCGACTTTGACTGTTGCGCAGATCAACGAGTACAAACTTAGACGTTACCAAGCTTTAATCAGGTATGTTTTGGTGATTGGAAGGTATCAGAGGTGTCACTAGCAGTAATTAGTGCAAGTCGCGCCCAGGTTAAACCTCATACTCTTTTCATTGGAAGATCTCATTGGATTGTGGGAGAATCATTGTTTATCAACACAAATGTCACACATGCGCAGCGCGACGACCACCACCCTTTAACATTGTATACAAACAAAATTAACAGTACAGTGAGCAAATAAGATATCCACAGAAATAGATTCAAAGTAACAGTATTGATATTTATTGAAGATTTTTTTTATCAGTGTCAAATCTTGAAGAAAATAAACAATCCCCATTGGTGTATGATGATTAGCTGTGAAAACACCACCCGGTGTGCTGAATAGATCTGTTCCAGAGAGACACGATCGCAGTGTGTAAAACAGACTGTAAGAGTCTCTACATTCTCCAAGTATCAGTCTCTGCCACAGACCAGTTTGAATATTCTTGTATTCTAAATGGTGTATGCATCTAGTGATACTCAAAAACAGTAGAAATATGAACAGATCATTGTGATCTCACTTAACCAGAAAACGTTTGTTTTTCTGCGATTTACTTGGATTGTTCGACATAGCTAATCATAATTCATGGATTTCTCATGCCAGACGTTCTACATGCCAAAGCACTCGTACAGAAACTTCATGCCATCGTGTTCAAGAACATGCCTACTTGCAGCGTTCCCATGGCTATTTATCGAGTTTGCTGAATTTTGGCTTGAGGAAATGTTTATATATATAATATATAAACAAATAAAAAACAAAACTATGACTAATATCAAGCATTTAAAAATGCATAATCCCTCAGATTAAGGTGTAAAATGGGCCTGTGGCAATGAGCGGTTCTCTACCTTCAAACAAGCCACATTGGCAAAAATCAGTCAAGATTTGTAGAACGAAGTCTCTAGTACAAGCATATCAGATGATGGCTGCAGTATCAGCACCACAAATTAAATATGATCACACTTTGTCCCAGTAACATTCTTTTATTTGCACACATTTGTAGTTCAATCACCTCAGATACAAGGACTCATAAATACAATGCATCATGCAGCAGACAACTACCCCATAAATCTTACTGAAGTTTTGAATGGCATACACCCATTTCCATGTGAGACAGTTGCCATAGCAACACAGACCAGGACCAAAATAACCTTGCTCTGTCAGTACATCACTCCTATACATAATATATTTACATTTCGAGTGACATAGCCCAGTTCAAAGTCAGTGTGATAAGTGATAATATTGTGAGATCAAAATATCAAACAAAGACAAGAGAAAATGCATCTTTGTATCAATGTGCCATATCAGAGCACATATATCATGTCAAAACATTCTTAGGCATTAGGAGATCTTTGGGATGCGAAAAGCAGAGATCGTTAAAATGATTATCACAATAACATCAGACAGTTATTGCTAAAATCAGACACAAACATCTTTAGGCTTGAATGCCAAACCAAAGCAATAAAGTGTTTGTGGAAATATTATTGGAACAAGGACGTTCAAGAGGGTTGCTAACATGCATGCATGTATTAATGGGCAATAAAACTCCAGGCATAATCAGAATTTATACCAAATCATCAGTGGATTACATCATATAGACCATTCTACTCAGGATGAAATTATATTAAAAGCAGTGACATGTTGGAGAGCAAATGAATTGGAAATTATGTATGTTTTTTTACTACAAAAAAAAACTATTAAAAACACACAAAACCTTAATAATTAGTATTTACATTGAAACCATCTGATATATAGTTGTTGTTTTTTTCATAAAATTTTTATCAAATCATGTCTTATGTGTTCAGTACTCAGTGTTGGCAATTTAATATTATATATACAATGAACAGATTGGATTAATACATTTTCCTGGCTGGTTTGACATGCCTTGCATACACTACAAATAAGATTTATCACACATGTGTGGCCACTAAAAATATTCTTGTTCAAATTCTTGGAAAGGCCAGCCAGGGAAATCTTTAAGTAAAGAAAAATAATGGTAATTTTCACAAAGGTGAAAGTTTCAAGTTTATATCGATGGTGTCTTGATGGGAGTTCTGGGTGACGCACTTCTGCGATATCTGCCATCTGCCGATGTGGCGTACACGTTTCCTGTTGGGGCTTTTGAAGAGAAAGCAGCAAAATAATCCGCTGCAAAAGACACAACATCATCAGGTTTCCTGAGTAGTAGGAACTGTAAGAAGTCTGCAAGTAATGCTTTCAGTTCTGGATGGTGCCTCATATACACAGCATGGTCACCTTTGAGTTCCTCCTGCAAGCGAACAAGAACAAAGACATAAATAGATAAGTGAATTTTAAACTCGTGGGGCAAATGGGAATAATGCATCAGAGAACTTAGAAAAGTAGCCTTTTGGCTGAGATAGCTCCACTGTTAGCAATGCACATTTCAATTAGAGAATTGAACATATCACCTGTGAGAAATCCACCTGAGGTACCCATGTGTATTATATCAAAGCAATCAAATTTGTGGTTTTCAACAAGTCGAAAATATTACTTTTTACCAAAAATATTCACCAAAATTAGAGAATTAAAGATATCATCATCAAATATCAAAGCAATCGGACTTGTAGTTTTCAAGAAGAAGTCGAAAAAGTAAAAAGTTGACACAGATGCCAATGATGACGACTGATACTCACTTATTTCATAAGCTCTGCTTGACAAACTTAATTAATAGTGGGAATTGAATATAACACAGAGTAGCAACGTAATTTTAATAATGGCTTTAAAGACAAAAAAAAATCAATAACGGTATGAAATCAACAGTCAAATATCAAACACTTGCTTGTATTTACACACGTCTTTTACAACCCCACAAATAAAATGATATACAATTCATTTAATACTGTTGTCCTTGCAACTGATTCTAGACTTTTATCTTCATCACTGAATAGCAATTTAGGACAATTAATGGCACACCATCTGGAAAATATCAAATGTTCAAACGACCCGACGTGGCTTGTATGTTTTCAAAACCCCTGTGTCACATACCTTTCTATCAAGGAACTTAGAATAAAGTTGCATATCCTCTTCCCAGTTGAGTGGCTGTTTTTTGAAAACTGGTTTATCACGGTCTTCCTCAGTTTCTAGCCTGCTAGGCACCCTTAGTAACCTCATAGTGACAGGTGATCCGACTTGAACTCTACTAGTCAGGTGTCTAAGAAGGGAACGTAGAAAAGGATATTAGTATGCTAAACATGACATGTTTCAAATATATAGTGATAGTAATTGTCTGTAAGCAATTAATGTGATTAGAATAGTCAAGCTGCATGATATTGACTTCCAAAGGAAAGAAAAAAGTGTTGCCTCCGATAATTTAAAGCCAAATTGAGATGTATAGATAAATCGGGGCACCAGCTCTCAAAGTTGCACTCTGAAAGCTTCAGTAGATCTTGGCAGTTAGCCCTATATTTAATGGGCTGACTTTGCATTTAATGAAATAATTATTTATTAAATGTTCAAATTTCAATAATACTCGGTGTGTCTATGAGGTGGTGGTCCATTTGATTGTTCCTATGAATGCCATTACCAATAGCCGAACAGTTGAATAGAGGCATACATAAACTAATGAGATTCTCCACTCTTTGAATTGACTGCAGCCATAGTAACACAGCTTAACCTTCTCACCACCAGTTCCCTCTTTTCAAAACGAATTCACAAAATAGTCCCGCTTATAGTCTTCAGAAGATTGAGACAAAAATAACCAATTCTTTTGAATAAAAACTGAAAATTGGCTCAAACTTTGTCTGTTGACTCCAAAATTAGGATTCATTCAAAAAATATTGAAGAATATAAGGAAAAAAGTAGAAAACAATTTTGAGCAAGAAATTCTGGTGATGAAAAAGTTAAGACCCTTAACCAGGAATCCAGAAAGAGACAAATATTAAATACTTTCAATTAGAAAATTTGAGTTTCAGTGCTTTTTGCTGTTAGCACTCAATAAATCAGAAATGCAACTTTTCCCTGAAAATGTAGTTATTTGTTTGTTTGTTAGTTTTTCATTCTTCCAGAACCATGATTTAACATTTCCACTACACAAAACTGTGCAGGATATTGAAGCAGTTGACTTAGCAGTATCTTGAATCTGTAGTGTTTATTCAATTCAATGGAAATCATGCGACTTTTAAATTTCTAGAGTTATCACAATTAGTGTTCTACAATGCATCTTGTTTTGCTGGGGCTTGGGAAAATAATAATCGTGCATAATACAAGTAGAGTTGTTTTTTTTTTCAGTAAATAAGAACAACTTTTATTATGTCTGAAGACTAGTTGGAGCTGTCTGTCTTTTTCCCATAATATATGAATAAAATCTGAAGTTGCACATATTCATGGCACACATCCAAGCCAAACACCATCAGTTTACAAGTCTAAACTTAGTTGCAAACTTACTTAATAACACATTTAAACTGCAATGAACAAACAAGATTGAAAGAGCAAACAGTTAATGTAAATATTATAGTACTTTAGAGTGACACTTAGAGATTTTGTCACATGCTGAGCATTGGGACCAACTTGGTCTTTTTTTCGGCAATATAACCACACAATTTAACACGAAACAGGAGAGGCTCACAGTTGATGTTAGCACAGGGCTGTATGGTAAAGATAAAACCCCCTCTCACAAAAAAAGTATACTCTATGGTTGAATTTTCAACCCATAATCCCTTTCAAAATCTAATTATGGTAGAAACACATTTTTGTCCCATAGCCATAATGTGTGCATGAGCGGTCAGGGTCATGTGCCACAAAAAAAAATCAACCCTGGACTGACACTCATACTGAAATCGGCTGTCTGAAAACTTCACATGAGCCGAAAACATGATATCGACCGTGAGTTTCAGAGAATATACAATTCCTGAAGGTTTCTATGATAGCTATGTTTTCCTATGTTGGTAAAACTAAGGTATCCACTATTAAGTACATTGTTTATATTTCTACACATAATGAATCACTGTGGCGACTTTGAATACCAGGTCCCGCCATGATCAAAATGAATGCAGAATGTTGTTGGAGAGGCATATTTATACTAAAATTGGTTTTGCGGTGAAAAAATAGCTATTTTTCAAAATTTTCTTCTATGCTGTTCATTTGCATGGTGACTAATACTAACTACCATGACAGCAAATAGCATCACAAAACATGTGCAAAACACATCTATGACATGTTTGGGTCAACAGATTGACAAATGTCAGCATGTTTTTGGCAAGAGCCCAGTAGGTCCTGAATAGGTCCCTGATGCGGTCTTGATTAACATGAACACATCTGCTGCAACCACTTTGCAAACATGAAGGATTGAAAATATTCAACACATTCTGAGATCTTGTATTGTGAAAGTTGCCAATGTATCCCCTTTGACTGCAGTAAGAAAGAATTGAGAATAAATTGTACTAGACTGTCACTAAACAAGACGTATTAAAAGGTATATATCTGACCCAATTTCGATGGTGGTTTTGAAAACAAACTATGATAGCTTTAAACCTGCTGAATGTTATAACTAAAAGCTAGTTACTGTACTCCCCAGACTTTTCCTACAATAACTCAAAACTTCAGGCATTTAACATATCATCATTCATCAATAAACCCTTCAATGCCTAAAGAATTAATTATTTATTTTGGATTAAAAAACCCAAACCACAGAGCTAGTGAAATACACTCTGAGGCATCTTGTATAATTGAAACACTGAGGGACTGATAAAAAAAGTATTTGAAAAGTAAATAATGAACAAGCTACATTAATGACATCTATCCATTCTCATTTATCCAATTCAAGCGTCATTAGAAAGTGTACACAGACAGTGCTTGTACACTTTCACATATTTGCCTCTAAGGAAAGAATCCTGTTACTCCATGCAATTACATGTTCTTTACCTGATAATGATTTAAAATAAGCTTTAAATGAGGTAAAACTTGTGTGAAGAGCCCAGGCCAGCTGAAGCAACTATAAAACCCGCCTGTAGCTATCCTTGTATGTCCACAGAACACATGTCAGGGTTTCTTTACATCAAAGTTGTTAAAACAGAAAGGGGAAAGCAATTAAATATTTGCCTATAAATGTAAAGCTTTTTATGGCAAGCCAGTGTTAGCAGACAGGAAATGACCTTACAGTGATCCACATACAGGTGTCTGTTCTAATAACACCCATTAAAGTATGATAACAGACAACTAGATGCACAGATAATAAATAATCTGAATTTAAAAAAAAAAAATGCTTTCAATCAGCACTGTGATACCCCTGACCCCCCTAAGGATTGTTCATTAGCGAGTCCAAATTAAGTGTCACAGGTAAATTGACTGTAATGTTGACAGCGATAAGACTTGACAGTTTACTGGTTTATACCGTGCAATTGAGATAAATGACACCACACTGAATGAAAAATAATGTTCATTGCTTTCCACACAGGTATGTAACTTCAATCTCATCAGAATTATCTTGTGAAATAACATTAAAATGATCACAGCATAAAATACAGGCCTCAAGGCAAATAATTATATGGTAATCCAGATTGCAGGATTTCTGATAATGATCCATGCTTGTAATAATTATTTCCCTCACTTGATTATTTATGTAAGTTTGTAATTTGCGAACTTGAGATAATTTTTAATTCTCGGGGGCGAGCATCTGGGCATTTTCACCACATGGCAACCAATCATTCAAAATACCCTGAAAAAATTCAAGCTAGCTAAATAAATATCGTACGTAAATACAGAAATTTACTAGACATGGGAGAAAACAGCTGTTCAACTTACCCGTCTGTTAGAAAGTACGACTGCCAGGACGTTGGCAAATCATGCGTGGAATGAATAGTTCGTTCAATGCCCGCAACATGGATTTCATGGTCGCCAACAGTTTGTTTACGCTCCTCCAAAGCTCTCTGTAAAGCAGTCAAAAGGAAATAAGTCAGTAATAAAAACTATAATTCACTTCAATTATACTACACACGCTAGAGAAAAGTGTAAAACGCTACGTGAATAGATCTATGTACTGTTCATGTAGTACTGGTAAGAGTTCACGTAGAGTTCACGTAGAGTTCAATATAGCTACTTATATGTTTAATTGCTTTATTAAAAGTACAACTTTAATAGAGTTTTTAAGTAAAATCTAATAAACCAACACAAATTCATTTATGCTAACTTTTTTAACATGTTCTTTATGTATTTGTGCATGTACTTTTAATACTTTGTCAAAAACAAAATCAGATACAGATCATGTGCTACATCCTAATGTTACTAATTATTATCATGAACTAGAACTAAGGAGAATATCAAACACTTTAATTCTAGCAGCCAGGTTGGAAGATTGGACACTCAGAGAATGGATATTTGGGAGAATTGTTTTTTTTTTTTTCAAAATATCTTAACTTTGTAATTATGCAGTTTATATGGCAGTACATATAAATTCTGAGCTTTGCATGCCATGGAGATGAAGCAGCTATTCACACAAATGTAGAAACAAACTGCACATAAACCTGTACACAACCCATACACGTGTACATGAATGGAAACAAAATACATCACATTGTGGGATTTAATAACAACTGCAAAACGTAAGATCAAAGGCTATGCTTTTTCTTGAATAGTTCAGGAATCTTGTGATATGATTACATATTATCATTCCTGCTAGGGCTTCAAATTCTATAAATCTTTTGATCACTGACTGACATATAATTTATTACCAATACGCTTTCACCTTACCACAAGTAATTTGTTTTAATGATCACAATATACATAATTTTTGGATACAGCATGTAGATAATAAAAAATATGACAGTTATGATTTGTACAGTTGTTGTATGTCTTTAACATTAACTGCTATACAGAAGACCTTACCAGTATTAATACAAAATTGACTGAAATTCATATGGATGGATATAAAAGCATCCATTTTGCATTAATTGAAGTGAATTTAGGAAGAATATGTAGACAAAGATAATGTTTTCAATTTTTGCCACACAGTAACAGGAATGACAGAATGTCAATATATTTCAATATTTTGCAGTGGAGAAATGAGATGCACACCTACTACCACCCACACATAAGGATCGATGAATCAATGAACATCAACATCAATGTCAGTGAGTGATATTCAGGGGTTGCCAAAGAATTTTGAAACTGTATTTTTTGTAACAAGTACATTTATTGACAAGAGAATCCAGTGCAAGTATGATATAAATTTAAATAGCGCCTGTTCCTCTTTCAAGTTGCGAATGAGTTATGTCAGACTATTAATGTAAGAGTAGAGAGACCAGTCACGACTGCGATTCAAAACAACTGTGACTAGGTACAAATGTATGTGTGTGTCTTTCATTGTGCTTGTCTACTTTATTGTACAACCTTATCAAGATCCAAAGAGGTTACAATCACAATGAAGAGAATTACTAACAGTATTATTGATTGTCAAACTCATTTGTAAATAAATTTATAAGTTTTTCTGAACACAGATATACACGTACTCAAGATTCCACCACATCAAAGGATGTGGAATGGATTAACCAGTAAATTACACTGACAAGCATCTATAGTCATTGCATTAGTGCTTAATAGCCAAGGAGATATTTATCTACAAGTGAGATTACTGGCTGTGATTGTACATCATTTAATAGCAATGACGTATTTAATTTTAGCACTTAATTGGAAAATAATCAGACAGTTGTCTGCGTCTCATTAGATCTGTAAAATGCCAGTACAGCTGACAAGTGTATGATCTTTAATGAGTCTGGAAAAAGACATACAGCTGTGAGGTATAAAAATGGTTCGGTTAACAGCTTTTATAGGACTTAAAATAAAAGTGCTTAAACTACATCACCACAATTTAGGATTGAGTTCAAGATGAATGGTTGGAATTGATTTGAAAAGTGCAACTTGAACAATTTGAAATAAGGCAAGCCATCAGTAAATTTTATTTGAAATCATCATACTGCACTCAATATCATACATTGGTATTTCTGCTTTTGCAGAATACTATGATACAGTAAAACCTAAATTAAAGATAGCACACCCTTAAAACCCAAGTCTACTGTGAATACCGGTATATACAACTCAGATACCTAAGATTGTTTGAGGACATTCCACCTATTGAATGGGAACATTTTTATTTCAAAAGAGTTACATTATTGTTGATTGAGACACAATTTTTCAACTTTTTGGCTTTTATATTCAGTAAAAATAATTAGTTTTGCATAAAAAATACAAACATGAGCCTTTTAGAATTGGTGTTATGTCATAATAAATTCAACAAAATAATCTGGGACCACAAAAAAGACCAATCTCATATACATATCATTTCCTCAAGCCTCATATCATTTCCAACACAACACAGAAGTGATTTATAAGTTTTGCTAGTCACAATTTTACATCGTATTCTTGAATAGGTGTCAACAACTAAGAAAAACTATAATTTAAGCACCTTGAATAATTACTTTCAAATGAGAATACTTAATTTTGACACATTTCTGAAACTTTAATTTGCACTAGATACTTTCTGTGACTTATAAATAAAGGGACAGCGACCAAAAGGTCACCCAACTGCCGAAATATCGACCATGGGTGATATTTTAGTGGGCCTTGTTATATAACAAATCGGTATACTGTGTGTGTATACAGCAAAACAAGAAAAATCACAAAATGTTGTAGCAGTGAAGCAATGTAGGATAAGACTTTCAAAGCATTTTGTATGGTGAAAACTTCTAGATGACTAAAATATAAATATTCAGAATTTTCCGTTTTGCTATAATTTGTATTTCCCGTTGACTTACAGTAAAAGCCTAATCATAATTTTTTTAGAAATTTAATCATAAAACACATGACAATTTTTATTACTATTGATATTGATG